TTCCTCTCTCTCTCTCTCTCACTCTCTGTTTTGTTGAAAATATGTAAATTTGAATTTATCACTGAAAAAAGTAGAATGGCTGCATCATCTCTAAATCCAGATGCTGACACGTAGACCCTGTCCCAAATGTCGCCCTAAGGCTTTTGGCACTGTTATCCAACGTAAATGTCAAATGGGACATGTTACATTCTCACAGACCTGACAGACACAAAACCACAAGTTTACATCAAGTGCACTATAGGGGACAAAACCAGAGATCCTTGATGGGGAAAAAAAGTGTTGTCAAGCATTTTGAAACATGGTAACTGGTTAATTGATGGTTCTACTAGCTGGTATTCCATTTGATCAACCATAGAGACCAGTTAATGACAATAAAGGACCAGCTCGGACCAGTTAGAAATCCGGTTGACCTGCTAAAAGCTAAAACCAGCTAAAAACATGTACAAACTATGTCAAAACTATTTAGCCACTTAAAGGGAAAGTTTGCCTGAGAAAGTAAAATTCTGTCATCATTTATTCACCCTGCTGTTGTTCTAATCCTGTACGAGTTTCTCAACAACAATGGACCCCATTGACTTTTATTTTATTAAAAAAAAAAAAAAATCCACAGAAGAATGATTGTCATACAGGTTTGGAATTTTATAAGGGTGAGTGAATGATTTTTTCTTGGATTTTTCAGTGCATCATGACTAACTCAAAGACAAGACAAAGAAACGAGCGCAGTCATACATCACCATCCCAGATGCTTCTCGGCAGAGTTTATAAGCAAAAGATTTACAACTTCAGACTAGGGCTACACGATAAATCGCATGCGATATTTAATGCGCATCTTGTCGGAAAGCCGGTTCTGTAATCAGCGGTAAATCTTTAAAATTTTAAAAATTTAGCTGCGCAAAAAATCGCGCGATTATGAACGTGGTTTTGCGCAACTCATCAGTGAACAACGGCTCTGTGTAGTTAATGCTGCTCAATGTGAAAGCCCGCAGGTGATGGAGATTTACCGCTGATTACAGAACCGTCTTTACTGACAAGATGCGCATTAAATATCGCATGCGATTTATCGTGCAGCCCTACCTCAGACTTAATATTGGATCCGTTCATCTTTCCCATTCCCATAGCATTCTACTTCTAGACCAAATCACTCTGCCAATCTACATGCACTGTATCCATAAAGCACATGGTAATAACTTGGATCGCTTCACTTGATGTCTCCCAGTGGGGTTCTGCCTCTTTGGTTTCTTTTCTTCACTCCTTCCATTATGGTTTTAACTAGGCATAATCTCGACACTGCCACATCGAGTTTTCATTGAGCAAGAACAGGTGAGGAGCCCTGTTTAGTCAGACACCTCTGATGTCAGTGCTACCCATGCATCACACTCGATTCTGAGAGTTTAATCTGCAACAATAACCTTCTGTCTTCAGAGATATTGCTTTCTGGGGCTGTAAAGTAAACAGGCAAAAGGTGTTATTCAGCATATTGAGAGAGTCATGAGCGGGAAAGAGTGTGCGTAGACAACGAAATTAATACAACGAAGGAGAAAAGGAAGGGGAAAGGCCGAGCAAACAGGGTGCGGACAAGCGCAAAATGACCTTTCAGTCAGAGAACACAGACAGATATCGAATGAGTCTCATTGTATTGGGAGAATGAAACTGCTGGCTTGTTAAATGCTGTGGCATATGGATATTTTATCTTCCTCTGACTTTAATTGCTTTACTGTCAGACTGTTTCCCCCTTGAATCTCTCTTTATGGAGGAGAGATTAAAATAAACATGAAGACATCTCCAGGAGGAGAGGCTTGACTGATCGCTATCTCTCAAACAACATGGGCCCGTCCTCTAAGCTGCATACCGCCTGACCTTTAATCTGATGCATAAACAAGAGGCTGGGGAAAGCGATCCCTCATCATCCTCCCTTCATACTCTACCGCCTCCTCACCCACCTCCATTGTTTGGCTTATGGGTGCATTTGTTTTAATTGCCACCGCTTTATTGACGCAAATTGCTGCAGGTCTTCATGAGGTCTTGTTTAGCCGGGCCCCGTGGCTGACGTTTATGCATGCCTGGAGGTATTTATAACCCACGCAACACCTGATGTCAAGCATACGCTGAGACTAATCATGTGCAGTGGTGTTGGAGTGTTCATGGACTCCACCGAACAGATAGAAAGATTTGTCTTCTCTTGTAAGGGAGGGTTGAATAGGGAGAGTAAATGAGATGGGCGGCCACCAGCACTTAACGCACATGGGTGCCCTTTTTTACGATTCCAACTGCTAATTTTTCAGTGCCACTTTTGCAAGGATTTCATACCAGATCATCCAAAGAGACTGATTGTAATTGAACTGCTGCTGATGTGGTCTGTTCAAATTGTTCGAGTTCTCCAGTTCATCTAATAGCAGCATGTCTTTTGATCCTCATTTCATGAGTAGAGCGCCTTGATCTTGTTCATCTTATGGTTCTAGTTCCTCTACAACAACTTCATGTTTTAATTGTTTGCCAATCTTGTAAGTTACTGCTGTCCATTTGACTCATAGCAGTCTTGTCCACATCTGTGGTTCTAAAGTTCACTTTTCATTTTCTAAATTGTCTTCTTTAACCACAATGGAACATCATTGGAGGTTGGTCATTTGGTTTGTTTACTGGGTTGATCAAAAGCTTCAGCTGGTTACCGAACTGAGTGACTAAGCTTATGGTCGCTTTAACCTTTCCAGTGTCTCGCTTAGGCATTTATGACCAAATCTCTGCTGTTTGTTTTGGAGTCAGAGGATTCAGAGGAAGGCTGTTTCTAGGCAGGAGGGTTAAGCTAATGGTACATTCCCTGTTCTTCTCCTAATGGATAAAGAAGGGAATAGATACTACACAGGCTTTAATAGGAGTGTAGAATGATGGTTTAGTGTCATGACCGTCTCCTGAAAAACAAGATATAATCCAATCATATGGCTAACTCTTTGATGCTAGCCATGCTCCTGCAGATAGCTTACATCAGAATTAGGTTTCCTAATGAAAAACAATGTCATGAATAAGACCAGACCATATTTATTTGCAGATATCCTGACTATCGTTCTTTCTACCAAGGCTTTGTTTGCCAGGTTCCTCTGTACTGCTCAAAGCTTGTTAGCGTTCCTCTTGCCGCAAGCATAGACACCAGGCGCATTGCCACCCGATGCTAATGTGTAATCACACGTTTACAGGAGCTAATGGCCAAATTAATTTCTCCTCACAGATGTGCGGTAATGGCCGAGTGATTTGTTTATTTTTCTCAGGCTTTGACTACATCGTGAGGAAGATGCAGCTGAGAGTGGTCATCAGCAGTCTACAAACTTGGTCTATGACACATGTCTACGATTCCTGCATTTTAATCTCTTCACAAACACTGAAATATTACTTGAAATATGCAACATGGCAGAGATTTCATGTCTCACAACTTTATTGTCCTTCATTCATCCTTCAGCCGCTTGACGTTTCTTTGAGAACAGCTTTTTTTTTCTAAAATAAATCTACTTTTGTTAAAATGTCAGTAAATGTCAGTGGATGAAGATGATACACTTTGCACATTTTATGATAAGTTATCAAATGGCATTTAAAAAAAAAAAACCTCTTACTTATAGCCCAAAAACTCTCATATTGATAGCATCTCACTTTTAAAAATGGATTTGAAATGCTTTCCTGTGCATGTTTTAGTGGATTATTATACTTGGTAATGGTGAGTACACTATTTTAATGGACACATATAAGATTTGGTCCTTGAAAAAGTGAGTACTTTACTTGCCTGTATTTGCAACACCAAATGCACACGGCATATGGCTCAATGATTCGCTTAATTTGCAACACTTCCATTTACTCCGCCTTGCAAATGCATTTGATGGCCTTCGAGCTCTTCCACCACCACATATGAATATAGGAGTGGGGCGTTAAATGAAGTAAAGCAAATACAATTGATTCTAATGGCTGCATGGAACAACAGAACAAGGATGTTCAGACATCACCACTCATACAATTCTCATCTAGCTCCATTTGGTTTTTATGGCCGGCCATTTAGTGGCAGTTTTAATGAAGGGTGATTGGCAATGTGTCGGAGTGGCCATTTCAGTCACTGGGCTATTACTGCTTGCGATCTACAATTATGAGCACATTTAGACCAGACATCTCATCTTAAGGAAGCTATCAACATCAATGGAGGCTTAGCCACCAGTATCAGCTCCCCACAGAGATGACATCTCTGTAATTCATCCGTATGCTGAATTGCTGAGCCGTATGCTGTACTTTGTTTTTTGTTTTGTTTTTCTCTTGGTGCTCCATATTTTTGCAAGCTTAATGTTTTACCTCTTTGTGTTCTCAATGAGTTTTTTTAACCCATTGTTTTGAGGATTTCCTTCCTCAGTTCTCCTTCGCTCTCTCACTCGTTCTCTGTATAAATGAGCCGTATTATCAGACAGGATGTTGTATCATAATGAGGGGTTTGTCACCAGCAGCCCGTGTGGTGGAGTAGATAAAAAGTGGGGCTTGATTAGCGGGACGAGGCATATTGATTCCTATTGACGGTCACTTTCCCCAGGTCTTAATGAAAGGAATGCAAATGATTCTCTCTGAGTTCTCTAAGAATAAGGCTGAGATGTGGGCCTTTGACTCTCTGTCATAAGAGGGACATGTATCATTGGCCATGGTTCACTGGGGAGTCCTTCAGGGAAACATTTGGTCCGTTTCATGTTCTCGAGATGCTGGCGGGCGCTGGAAAAAGTAATGGACTGTGTCCGTACGTGTAATTTAGCAAAATGGATAGGGTCACATGGGCTCAAATGGTGCTCATGCTATTGATTGAGGAAACAAGCTGTATTCTTATAAGGATTCGCGCTGTACTGTACCGTCTTGTTTGTTTTATTCAAGTGCTATCATCTGTAGTGTACCATCTGTCCTTCGTTGTTCCCAGGTTGATGTTGGGACCGCTGGTGACGCCATAAATGACGATATATGATTGTTGTTGTTTTTTCCTCTTTCCTCTATAGCAGCCGACTGGCACCCAGCAACCATGACCGAATAAAGTGTCTTCGGCAAGAGTTCCAGCAGGCCAAGCAGGAGGAGGAACCTGATGACCGCCGTCGATCCTACAGCTTTCAACATCAACAGAGGGTGAGTGTGCAAGACTACAGAGTAAACCTCAGCTTAGCATGTACACCCTTACCCTGACCCTTAAAGCTTCCCAGCATGCACCTCTGCAAAAGTTACACTTTAGCTTTATCTCATTACGAAGGCTGCACCATCCGGAGGTCACATTTGTCGGCTGCATACATCATCGAGGGTGTCTCATTTCAGAAAGTAACCATTATAAAACCTAGGTGTACTGTAATTTCTTTCTTACTTTGGAATGTAGTGGTTGCTTTTCTGAAATGAGGCGGTGTCAATGACTTACGTGGCTGACAAATGTAAACTCTTCCAAATGAGTCACAGCTTTTAAATCAGCCTGGTGTTTGGTGTTCAGGGCAAAGGGCAACATGTATTATAATGAGATATTGTCAGGGATCTCAGATAATGCATAAATGGTGTTTGTTCTGTGAGGTGGGGGACTTGTTTCACAAATGCATCTCACAGTTGATTTGCCCCCAACCTTGCTTATATTTGTTAGGTCTGCACAGAGGTGAATGTGTTTTAACATTTTGTCCTTGAAAGTCAGTGCTTCATTTTAATGTCCGAGGTTAGAGGCTAGCCGTTATTTTATCTTTATCAGCAAGTTAAAATAATATACACAGCTCAAGAGGCTGGGAAAGAAGTTGCAAGGGGTCAAAGTTCAAATAGCTGTGTATCTTTACTCTGTAATGGTCTGAGCCAGACATGGCGGCCTGTCCTATGACTTCCTGTTAAGGGTATGGAGGGGGATTTTAAAAGATGACAGGCTAATCACCTCGAGGAATAGAACCATTTCCTAAATTAGAGGTCAGCTCTCTGACCCCGTCTTCCCAGACGCATATTTGGCCTCCATTTTCCTCTCAGGTCTTGAATAGCTCTACAGAGAGGTAAGCAAAACAAAAAAAAAAAAAAAACACATGGAACTGCAGATATCTAGAACTTTACATTTTCTATGTGAGTGGTGCTTGTCCTTGCAAAAGTTGCTGTTACACTGGTGGGGTCTTGTGGTTTGTTGCCAGGGCGTTGTTATGCAGTTGCTGTGGTGTTCTGAATTGTTGCTGAGATGTTGCTAGGTGTTCTGGGTGGTTGAAGAATGTTGTTACATGGAATGTATGCTAGAATATTGTTGCGTGGTCGGGGTGTTCTTGTTGAACACTTGGATACAAAGTTGTATTTGGTGTTTGCTAGGAGGCTGCTAGGGTGTTGCTAGGGTATTCTGGGTGGTTGCTAGGAAGGGTGATGATTGGGTGATTGCAAGGGTGTAGTGGCTGTTCAATAGGTTGTTGCTAGGGTTTTCTTAGTGGGTGCAAGAGAATTCTGAGTGGTTACTAGGATGTTGCTAGGTAGGTTGCTTGGGTGTTCTGGGTGATTGTAGGGATGTACTGGGTTTTTGATAGGTTGTTGCTAGGGTTTTCTGGGTGGTTGTTAGGGTATTCTGAGTGGTTTCTATGGTATTCTGGGTGGTTGTTAGGGTATTCTGATTGGTTGTTAGGGTTTTCTGGGTGGTTGTTAGGGTATGCTGAGTGGTTGGTTGGGTATTCTGAGTGGTTGCTAGGTAGGTTGTTGCTTGGATAATGGATAATGTCAAAGGTGTGCTGGGGTTTTGCTAGGGTGTTCTGGGTATTTGCTAGGGTGTTATGAGTGATTTTGAAGATGTGCTGGGGGGTTTGCTAGATGGTTGCTAAGATGTTGCTAGGTGGTTGTTTACTGGCTCAAATCAAAAGTGCCCACTCTCCAGTCTCTAGAAGTGAGTCGGATCTGTTTAGGTGTATGGGTTTTTAATCACTGCTAATGAAAGATATTTAATAAATAAATATATTTAATGACAGTTCATTTTAGCCCCGTTATGACAGTAGGTAAATCTCAAGTGAGCGTTTCACTTCAGGACTACTCATGGTCTCCTAAGCAACGGCTTTTATACTTGGACTTTATAGACATGCACTAGCTTGTATTTGACATAGCTTTAGCTAGTCAATGACATTTTTCTACATGTAGTCGGCACTGTTGCCGTAAGTTGTGTCAAGGGGATGTTGACATACAGGCACATGTGGTGGTAGTTTGTGTGTGTGTGTGTGTGTGTGTGTGTGTGTGTGTGAAAACTCCCTTCAGTTTTGAAAAGGTGGGAAAAATCATGCTAAAATTGCTCCGGCCAAAGTTTTGTGTACTGTATGGCATGCTGGTCTGTTAAATGCAGACTCAAAACTTATCTGTTTAGCTGTGCATTTACTGAATGAGCACTGTGCGATGTCCGAACTGATTGCACTATATTGTATGTATAATCGTTTTCTATTCTTAACTGTTTTAAATTTATTTTAAACCTCTTAAATTAATTTTTTTATCATTTTCAAAGTTTTTAAATTCCTTGTTTTATTGTTGTGATTATTTTTATTTATTTTTTATTTTCTTTTATGTAAAGCACTTTGAATTACCATTGTGTATGAAATGTGCTATATAAATAAACTTGCCTTGCCTAGTCTGTTTGCAGTATGAATGAATCAAAACCTCTCTTGGTACCTAATGGTGTCACATTGTCTGGGCTTCTAGTACGGGAAGTAAAAGCCCTGTTGTTTGCACAGCGCCGAACCAGAGGAGTCAAGCTAGAAGGCACCTAATTGTTTGTGATAGTTTACATTGTTTAAAGACTAGAGACATTTCCCGTAATAGAATACGCAACCCTCCCTCAAGTGTCTCAAGTCTACTGTATTATCGGCTGACAGGTCAGCTTCTCAGTTTGAACAGGACTAGTTTCAAATAACAAAACATGTTAGGTGGGACCCAGGGAATGCCTTTGAGTCTTTCAGGGTATTATAAGAAGGGCGAGTTTCCTGAAGACTGTGGTTTAGATGTCAAGCATGACATTTTTCTACATGTAGTCGGCACTGTTGCCGTAAGTTGTGTTAAGGGGATGTTGACATACAGGCACATGTGGTGGTAGTTTGTGTGTGTGTGTGTGTGTGTGTGTGTGTGTGTGTGAAAACTCCCTTCAGTTTTGAAAAGGTGGGAAAAATCATGCTAAAATTGCTCCGGCCAAGGTTTTGTGTACTGTATGGCATGCTGGTCTGTGGGCCACTATGCAATCGACACAACCAATAAATGCTAATTACAGCCCTAAAAGCTTGTCAAAGAATAGTGGAGAGATATGTCTTAAGGATGTGACCAAGTATTCAAGTCCTCTTCAATGTCTATGGTGGTTACAGTTCTGCTAAAAACAGTGTAACGCTAAGTTTTCACATCCCAAGGAATCAGGTGGTCCAGGTGTTTTATCCCTGGATTGCATTAGAATCACACACACTCAATCAAAGCGAATACAAACAGGCTTGACATTGATTTAGGGTCTGAGTGGGCCCACGAGCGCTGTGGTCCTGTTGACTTGTAGAAATATACAGCCGTCAGTCGTAGCAGCAGGTTGAGAGAATGATGGTTAAGCAGGGTAAGAGAGCACAAGGGAGGTGTTTGTAGTCATAACAGTCTTGTTGATCCTGCTGCCATAAGCTTGATATAATGACGTTATAAATCTGTCAAAACAAAGTTCCTCTGAGAGCATCTAGAATTTTTGGGGGGTGATGTGTCACAGTGAAAACTTGTTCAACATCAGATGAGTAATGGGACATTTTCATAAAAGTACCATTGAATTACCATAGTGTTTTGGACATGGTAACTTATGATATTACCATTAAATTCATTAATTCATTCATTTACACTTTCTGTTGAGATACCATGGGTTTGTTGACATGGACCTTTTATATGGTAATATAAATATAAATGTATTCAAAAGTGGGATGGAATCCCATAGTGGTTCTCATGGTACCATGTTGTTTCAATATGTTCAATAGCAATATAGTAGCAATAATATTTCTTATATTGCCATAATTTTGTTGATTCCATAGTTGTAATGCTTTGCTTTTGTTGTTTGAATACCATGTTTATTCCATATTCCGTGGTAATACTGTATTTATTTGTTTGGTCGTTTGATTTCATCACAAATACCATGATAATACTGTGGTATTCTGAATTTTTATTTGACGTACTTTTTAAATACAATGATATATATACTGTGTGTGTATATATATATATATATAAAATCATACAGTATCATGATGTGCTATTATCATTTGATACCATCACTGCACTACAGTATTGCATTTTGCACAATAGTTTCATTAAGTGTTATAAAATGCCTATGAAAAGCACTTGTCTACTTAACATTTGTGACCACCTAGCTACAGGTACTCAGCATGATTTTGAGGTTTCTTTAGCATTTCAAAGCCTGCCGGTTGTTATTTATAGCTTTGATTATAAATACCGTGCATTACACCATTCAGAAGTGTCCCTCAAGTGCAACAGATAATCAAAGTGGCATGAAACAATGATTGATTGCCTTTTAAATATGTAGCTATGTGGCAAAACTCCCAACTTTACATAAAACGCCTTTCATTTCTTTATGAAGAAAAATGGGTAAGTACACACCCCAGATAATCCTTCAAACCCAGCGTGAGTTCTGACAGCACGAGACGCACATTAGGACAGTGATTAAGGTGTGTTCTCAGTGTTCACCAACGAGCTGCCAACCCAGATTGCTGATAATCGCCCCGTGGCCAGAACCTGTCACAGACTTCCACCAGTAAACAGACAATTAGACGCGTCTTGTTATGCCTCCCTTGTATATCACACCCAGCATTTCTCGCTATGACTTTCAAAGGGGCTTTTCCAGATGTTTGTCATAAAGAGCATGTTCCTTCCAGAGGCTTGCCGCCCTGTCTCAGCCAATAAAAATCAATCTTTTGTTAAGACGATCGGAGGCCACACAAAGGTCGGAAGTTTTATGTCGGTGCCTGGATCACACACAAGCAGAAATGCTTTCATTAGGCCCGTATTTACGTGCTTTTCTCCTCTTTTACAAGGACCTCGGTGCTGGCAAGCATTCAGGCAGCCTTCATGACTCGAAAGAATGCCATTGATTTCAGAATTCAACCAGCATGTTTTCTTTGATTTTAAACCACACAGGAAACCAGGCGTGATTTCCACAGTGTGGAATCCAAAAACTCTTGTCTTCGTACAGTCGACCCACTGTGGCCAATGGTCAGACAAGGTTATGTCTCAATGCCAAATCACCGCTGCAGGAACACACTGTAAGCTCAGGGAACAATTGCTGCATGTAGGCGAAAAGAAGTACACAACATGATAATGAGCCTACAGTGGGTAGATAAATCCACTGCAGCTCGAGATTAGTGTCCCTCTTGTGAAATAAATGTTGATTGCCTTCCTACTCTTATATATCCCTCCATGTTCACTAGATTTAGAACTTGATGATACAATTGCGATTACCTACAGGGGATGTGGGGAGTGTATCTGTTGTGAACTAGGGCTGCACGATAAATTGCATGCGATATTTAATGCGCATCTTGCCGCAGGTGATGGAGATTTACCGCTGATTACAGAGCCGTCTTTACTGATAAGATGCGCATTAAATATCGCATGCGATTTATCGTGCAGCCCTATTGTGAACATTGAGCTGAACTGTGATCTCACCATAATACACATTCGACCCTTCATGTTCTGTTTCGGGTCTGAGAGAACCCAAGGGCCATTTATGACTCAAATTATAATGACTTCTAAACTGGTGCTAAAGGTTCTGAATGTTGTTAGGGTGTTATACTGTCGTCAGGGTGTTCTAGGTGGTTTCTAAGGTGTTTATGTGGATATTAGGGTGTTCTGAATGTTGTTAGTATGTTGCTATGCTGTTGTTAGGTTGTTTTAAATGGTTGCTAGGGTGTCACTATGTATTTATGAAGGTGTTCTTAGTATTTTTAGGGGTTTTGGGGTGGTTGCTAGGGAGTTGATAATGTATTTCTATGCTGTTGTTAAGATGGATTATTTGGAGTGTCGCTAAGGTGTTGCTAGATGATTATTTGAGTGTTATGAGTGTTTTAGTTGTGTTGGTGGTTGCTAGGATGTAGCCAGGGTTTTCTAGGTAGTTATTAGGATGTCCTGAGTGTTGTTAGAGTGATGCTATGGTATTGTTAGGGTGTTCTGGATGGTTGCTAGGGTGTTGCTTTGTAGTTATGGGGGTGTTCTCAGTGTTGTTAGTGCATGCTGTTTTTAGGGGTTTTGAGGTGGTTGCTAATGTGATATTAATGTCTTTCTATGCTGTTGTTAAGGTGTTTTGAACTGTTGCTAGGTGATTATTACAGTGTCCTAAGTGTTTTAGTGTGTTGCTTTGCTGTTGTTACTGTGTCCTGTTAGGGTTTTCAAAGTGTTGTTAATGCATCGTTATGCTGTCGTTAGGGTGTTGCAGTAGGGTGGTAGTTGCAGGAGTGTTGCTGAGTGGTCATTAGGGTGTTCTGGGTGTTTTTCCTGTGTTGCCATGCATTTACTAGTGTCTTCTAGGAGATTGCTAAGGTGTTGCTAGGTGCTTATTAAGGTGTTCTGAATGTTGATAGGGTGTTATACTGTCATTAGGGTGTTCTAGATGGTTTTAAGGTGTTGCTAGGAGCTTATTAAGGTGTTCTGAATGTTGTTAGGGTGCTATACTGTCGTTAGGGTGTTCTATGTGATTTAAGTTTGTTGCTAGGTGATTATTACAGTGTCCTAAGTGTTTTAGTGTGTTGCTTTGCTGTTGTTACTGTGTCCTATTAGGGTTTTCAAAGTGTTGTTAATGCATTGTTATGCTGTCGTTAGGGTGTTGCAGTAGGGTGGTAGTTGCAGGAGTGTTGCTGAGTGGTCAGGTGGTAAGGTGTTGCTAGGAGCTTATTAAGGTGTTCTGAATGTTGTTAGGGTGCTATACTGTCGTTAGGGTGTTCTGTGTGATTTAAGTTTGTTGGTAGGTGATTTTTACAGTGTTCTAAGTGTTTTTACTATGTGGATATATTGTTGTTAGGGTGTCCTATTGGCAAGTTGCTATGCTGTTAAGGTGTTCTGAGTCATTACTAGAGTCTTGCTATGCAATAGATAAACCTTCCCTGGTGTACAAGCACTCGAGCAGAAAAGTGAAATTTCTAAGGGATGAGAGGAATGATGTGTCTGTCTATAGCTGCTGTGACTTTCACATTTTCTGTCTATTTTCTTGTTCTCTGTTTAAATCTGAGACACAGACACCTCAGTCTTGTCACAACTTGCTAATTATGATACATTTTTGCAGAATGATTCACTCATTTTCCATTCCCTCTTTAATTTTTCCCTCCCTCTGCATTCTGTCCTTTCTTTATCTCTTTTTTTCCTGCGCTCACCCAGTCAAGTGCATCAGTTCCTAAATTAACTCCATATGTCAGAGCAGGTTTCTGGAAGTGGTTGAGTGTATAGTGCAGTAAACATTGTTGCACACAGTGCATGTGTGTGTGTCTCTGACCCCCTTGTGCACCGGAGGCCTGGCTCATCTTTGATATTAAAGGCTGCAATTATAAGTGATTTGGAAGTCTGGAACCGGCAAGCTTTCTGTTTCATGCTTTCTTGCTCAGAATTGATGTGGTCAATTTTTCATAATTATGTCTGTCTCTCTATCAGGCCACTTTTTGTGTTTGTTCAGGTGGGCTTCGTATTGTTGTATTTGTTCTATGTCTGAAAAAGAGGGGAAAAAAAGATAATTTCTGTGTAATTAATGGGAGAAAGTGCCATGTGCTGTCTGGAGATCTCATGAAAATGTCATGCTTTCATGTTTTTATAAGCACTGCTGATAAACTTTAAATTATCAGGCTCTACATGCAGGGTAGAACGGCAATTTAATTAAAATGTGATTAAATTAGTACTGTGTAAGTTTATTGTGTTTTGCTACTGGTATTTGATGATTTAATTTATTTTTAGGTAACAGTCGAACTTTGAAAGTGAGATTGTATGTGTGTACAGAAGAGGATCGACAACCATATTTATCTATAGTGTGTATGTGGCTAGTGACATATCAGAAGACGCGCACACACACACACACACACACACACACACACACACACACACACACACACACACACACACACACACACACACACACACACACACACACACACACACACACACACACACACACACACACAGCTGATTTTTGCTTGCTGCAGTTTCCTCTCAGTCCAAATCTAATTAAAACATCTCACTGTGAATAATTGCTTCATTGTTGCTTCTATCTCACAATAAAAGCATTTCCTTTTCTCTGTTTTTGGCTTAATATGTTGCTAGGAAAGAAATTTACCAGGCCTTTAGCTATTATAATGTGTCTCATTGGGGATTTTGCTCAGCCTTCATCAGACATGAATAAAATTGCCTGATTCTCCAGTTTGCAGTTAGACCATAGCCGTAATATAAAATTGTTCTGTTTTTACCATCTTATGAATCGTTTAAATACTCGCCTCACCGCATTAATGCAGCATTTGTCATTTTTGCGATGTCAGCTGTTTGTAGCACAAGTGCACTCGAGGCTAATTGCGTTAGGGTGTGGTAGTCATGTTTCTCATTAACGCACCTTGCGCTGTTGGAAGAATCAGTAGTGATCAAGTGCCCCTCAACAATTATAAAACCCCCACCTGACCGTGAAATATAAAATTATGCTGCGCTTGTTATATTTTGTACACTTGTTAATTTGGTCAGTGCAAACATATAGTGCAACAACTTCCTGTACAAGATCAGGAAAGCCTGTATTTCATAAAAGGATCACCATTTACTCTGAATGACTTTAATTTTCTATGTGAACACACAATTTTAAAGTTCTTTACACATATTTGCATGTAACCCGGAATATGTATTTTCATATTTCAGGCCAACACGGGTTCTTATACACCGACGGGGCGGCACTCGGTTTCTGTGGAGGACCAAATGCAGAAACAGAGAGAGGACAGAGACTCTTTCACACAAGCCCAGAGGCAATATAACTCCTTACCGCGGTAAGGAAAGCCACACAGAGACGTCACTGCACAAAATATCTCACATTCTCAGATCTGTTAAGCACACATTGTCTCTCACAATAACACTAAATGAACAATTTGTCTAAAGCACTAAAACCATGCATTCATTCTACAGTTTTCATATAAAAGTGGACTTTTTTGGTAGAGCTGGATTCCAGGTCTTCATCTCATTTATGCATGACCTTTGGAATCGAAAATCAGTTTTAAATCAAATTCAATAAAATAAAATGTATTATCATATGTCCATTCCGTTTATAATAATAATAATAATACTTATTATTATTATTATTATTGAAAGTGTATCATTTCAATGACTTTTTTTGGGACGCTGAGATTGTGGTACAGTGTAAATGATACGTAAACAATCATATGATACCATTATTATGATGCCATTACAGTATTTCCCCATTACATTTTGTAAAGCTATTCCTCACATTCAAGTAAAAAATCTCAAATACGACTTCATACGTTGCTGGATCGCCTATTGAGCAAAGCAATAAATTCATGCTAGTAAATCAGCCATTACCCAGATATGCGTGCAATCTTATTTCCACGTCTCTCACACTCTCTCTGACCTCGGTGGCATTTCTCCACTGAAGTCATCCCATTGTCATGCGGTCGGTTCTGTCTTTGCTCTAAGCCTTCAAAACAGCAACAGCGTCTGTCTTCATGCTCACAAGCCCCTCCTAAACCTAATAAAGATCAGCCCGAGAACCTGTTTGTTGAGGGAAGTTTATCTTGGCATCTGTGGTCTATAGGGCCCCACTTTTCTCGGATGGATATCAGCCCCGTCCCTCATCTGTTTTATCTGCTTTCTTCACTTTCACTCTTTTTTCTTCCCCTCCCCTTTGCATATTTGTCATAAATGTCAATAAAGCTTAGAATGTTGCCTGCGGGCTGAGTTTGATATCGGTGTTTCTACTTGCAGGCATTGGTATCTTCTTAATCTGCTTCAGTTCATGCAAAGCATCCAGCCAACAGACATGAGAAGAAAAAAATCCCACATTAGAGCTTTACATACTTAACTGACAGGGGACTGCAGGCACTGCTGATAAAGTTTCACTCAATATTTCAGTACGTTTATTTACAGCACAGCAGGAAAAACTGCATTTTTATTGCTAAAATGTCACCTTCACAATGCAAGTGTGTTGCCAACTTTGTGCTAAGGTGGTCTGTTAGCCACAAAATACATTTTGACGGCTGACATCAAAGCAGTAGACTCTATGACACAGTCTCCCGTTTTGTCTGCCAAAAAAAAAAAGCAAGTCTGATCACTTTACCTAATTTTTGATCATGCAAAAGTTAGGGGTCATTTTCTTTGCTGCAATATAACAAAGAGTGAAAAATTTAAGGGGGTCTGAATACTTTCCGTACCCACTGTATATATATATCGATACTTTTATTCACCAAGAATGTATTAAATGCTATTCTTTAGATATTGTGTTAAACAAAGAATCCTGGAGGGGGAACAAGTAAGGAAGAAAAAGAAAACCAATCAATCAATCAATCAATCAGCATATTAGAATGATTTCTGAAGGATCATGTCACACTGAAGACTGGAGTAATGATACTGAAAATTCAGCTTTGCCAGTACAGGGAGCAAATAAATTAATTAATAAGAAGAAGAAGACTATTAAGAAGAAAAAGTATTAATAATAATGATTTAAAACCTTTTTATTAAAATCTTTTAAATTACATAAAAAATATTAAATAATTTCATCATTTATTTTTTTTTTTTTGGTGTTGGGAGAATATAGGGAAAATTAATAAGCAAAAAGTATGGTGTCTGTGGAAAACATCATTTAAATGGGACAAGAAGAGCATAAGAAGTCCAAAAAAATGCATTTCACTTTTAACCCTCTGGGGTCCGAGGGTGTTTTGGGGCCTGGAAAAGTTTTGACATGCCCTGACATTTGTGCTTTTTTCAGTTGCTAAAGTTTAATAACACTGTAATCAGCACAAAATGGGCTACAATAATATGTGAGCAGCATGTATGTACGTGATTGTGTTTTTGAGAAAACAATGTTTATGCGTGCTTAGTGAAAAACTAAAATTTTAAAGGCACTGAAATAAGGCCATAAAACACATACAGAACATTTGTTCACAAGACTTTTGAG